GGTTTGGGGGAGTAGGAGAGTTGCTATTGTCTATGCTGAGGTTAGATTTTGAGATGTCTATTTTGGTTTCTCTTCTGCTTTGCCTTCTCAGAAAGGGCTAACTGAAAGAGCGGGCAGGGAGACTTGACCTGCAAATGCCCTGTGCAGCGGAGTTGCTGCAAACTGAGGGTTTGGATTTGTGTGAAGTCGCCGAGTCGATGCTGAACCCGGTAAAACCATTATGGCGCTCTCCTGCTTCTAGTGGGTAGCAGTCATTCGAGTTTTCGCAAATAGCGTCCTCGTTGGTGCGGTCTGTAGAAGAGGCGTATCGCACGGATATACCAAATCACGTGTCCCTAATGTGTATACAAGTTAGTTGTATAAGTGTTAATGGATTCAGCTGGAAGGGATTCTTGGTTATGTTTCCCAAGTAGCTTCAGGAAAATTTGCCTCTGAAATGAAGACCATCTGATGCACTTGGGCAACCAGCTTGCTGCCCAGAAGTCTGTGCACAGATATAGCATCTCTTTGCTAAACTGTTTAAAAAGCTGTGGTTGCCATTAGTGCCCTGAAAGCTTCATGTCTTTGTTGTCAAGAGTTGTTTTTCCCCCATCTAAGAATATTGCTGCAATAGTGTCCTGACTGCAACAGAGAAGTAGCCTCGAGCGCGGTTGCCTGATCAAAAGGCGTGTTCCACCCACGCGGCTCAGCAAAGCAGAGCTGAAAAGCCCTGCTGGCGATAGCTTGTTCAGACGCGCTTTCAGCGAAGTAGCGGTAGGGTTATCTCCCCTGACAGTACAGCAGCCCCGCGATACCAATACTCTCGTGCAAGCTGGACATGGGCTCCGGAGTCAGAAAATCCCATAAGAGGGAGATGATGTGTGTTACAGCGAACAAATTGCGTTAGCGCGGCTTAGCTGCTGGGAGCGAAGGTGATGAGATATTCTAGGTGAGGCAGGGAAGGGTTAGGCTGGAATGAGCTGTGGATAAAAGCTAGCTTTGACTGCAGGTCTGTGGAAATAAGCTGACTTTGTAGCTCCTTCCCAAGCACCCCATGCTGTGCCACTTGACATCTTGTGTTGTGGTTGTCTTAATTTGAGCTGCAAGCTCTCCAGGACCGAAGCGCTCTTTTTTTCTAAAAGGCTGAGCATGTTTTTATTGTGCTACATAAATGTATGGGAATGAAGATGTCTCTTGATTTCCCCAAACTGAGTTCCTCTTGTATCTCGTTTCAGAACTTTCTCCAGAGAAAAGCTGGGTTTTGTTATTAAAATCTTAATTCCTCCTTTTTGTCCTCTTTCCCCATCACATTCAAAACTGCCTTGATTTTATGTAACTTCTAAATTACTTCCTGTGCATGTGCTATTCTGTCTTTGCTAAGTAAGTGTGTGTGTTTGTTCCGTTTTACAGCAGACACATGCCTGCTCGAAGAGACAGATGTGGGATTTTTCCCTGGGAACAAGAAGTGTTTGATGCGTTGCATTAATTAAACCTTAACTTTGTTAAACCTTTCTTTCCAATACAGAGCAGGTACATGTTTAGAGGCAACTAAAATCTTCAGACTATTCAGGGAGTGAAAGAAAGATGGTACGTGTGCTTTTTGTAGTCTCTGCTGGTGTGAAATGGCAACAAACTCATTGCATTTGGCAACCTGCATCCTTCCTGGGCTGTTCCTCAATGGAAATTCCTACTGTGCTTCACCAGAAGGGTGAGGATGTCACACTCTCTAGCTTCTAGTTTACTAGGACAGGTTTTCTCCTTGGGGTTCCCTGCACGCTAGTTATACATAGGCTGACCAGAACTGAAAGGGAAATGAAACTAAATCTTGGCATTAGTCACACTTGAAATTGTGTGTGTTAATCTTGTTCCCTGTTTTTGTAGGAATTGCTCAGAAAGCTAGTGTGCAAGAGGAATGGAAGAAACCATTGGTAAGTACACGCTTAGATATCATACCACAGGTTGTGGATCTGTTCTTTCTTCCTTGGTTAAATACCATAATGAGCCTTATTACATTAAACTTTGGATCTTCAATTCAAATGTAGAAGATGATTAGAAAATAAGATAGCTTGGCAGATGCATCTGTTGCTGCTCTACTGTGGTAATGGCATGCACCAGATCTGATCAAAACTGTATTGTAGGTCTGAAAGATTTATTTTGAAATCTCCCATCTGTGAAGACCGGAATACAGGTCTCCTGAATATCCCAAGCTCTTGAAAACAAAGTAATATCCCCTTTTTTAATAAGTAGGAGGCTGGAAGCATTGAGCTGGTAAGTGATTTGAACAAGCTGCACTGCAAGCCAGAAAGAAGGATTAGCTCATGGTAGCTCCTGCCTTCTTTCTGTTTTTATTTCCCTAGGCTGCTCAGTCTTGCAACATATCTCGGATTTTTTTTATTAAAGAAAACTTGACTTTAAAGCTGTTGCTTTAGGCACTGTGTATTGCTTGCCATGAGGCAAGCAAACTGGTCGTTGGGTTAAACTGAGGTTGGGTTTAATTGTTGCAATTAAAACTGGCAGATTTTGGCATAGGATAAGTGCTTGAATGGCTTTTCCTTCCGTTTGTCTAAAATGGCTATGGAAGGCACTGGTTAAATGGCCATTTTTTCTTACCGTTGAAATGGGATTTGCATGAGAGCTCTTGCTTCCACCTTGGGAAGCCAGTCTCCCTTAAGCATATTAACCTTGCATCGCATGGAACGTGGTATTACCTCTTGCAGTTGCTGCTGGCAAACATAAGAAATGTTGAATCATCTCAGATGAAACCATAGCAAATGTCCAGTTGGCACTGGATGTAGGAAAGCCTCTTTTTCATAATCTGTCATAAAATTATCATGGAAAGGGCAGCTGTGCAGCTGATGACTCTTAACTCGTAGTGAAGTGCTACTCTGTGACCACAGATGTTATTTCTGGATTATTCCTGCGCAGCCAGGTGATGCCATCCTTAAACCTTGAGACTGAACGTGCTTCTCAGCAGTGTGGTGTTCCCAGCATGGCAGATGTACCAGGCCTCTCTTGAGAAGGCCGGTTTGACTTCGTGGAAAGCTGGTCTGCTGGAACCCACTGGCACACGTGGAACAGCTATGAGCATGCATAGAAACATGTCATGCTAATAATCCTGGTGGCAAGAATTGCTCCTGTGCTGAGTGTTAGTCTGTAAGAGGCACGTTTAATCTGTGGTGATTACTCTCCCTTATGATTTGCTTGTGGCAGACTAATCCTAAATGATGATGTTTGTTTTTTTAAATGGGGGGAGGGGGAAGAGTGTGGTGCTGGCAGCTGAAGTTGAAGCTCTGGAGATGGCAGCTCCCTGTTCAACCCCAGGACAAAGCACAGTCGACAGCAGGGCCAGTTCTTCCATCTCTGCAGCCTGCATTAATAGGATGGCTTTGAGCAATGCTGTGGGCTCGACTTACCCAGACTCAACCTCTCTTCGGACTGTTGGCAGCCAGCTGTAGCCATATCACAAAGCTTTTTGTCTCTATTTATGTGTAGTTGAACTCCATTTTTTGGATAGGCCAATGAGCCGTAGTGTTACAGCCTATCGAGGTCACTGGCTGCTTTGACTCCTGATCTGGGCAGAACTGGTGGCCTGGGATGCAAAAGGCTTTCTGTTCTGTTTCCATCTTGCTAACTCGAGGAGAATTAACTCCCCTTTCTCTCGGGTCAAATGAGGATGCTCCATCCTAAACCTGCACAACTGGATTTGTTCGTTCTGTCGCGGGCACAGACTCCCCCCACAGCTGGTTGCGAAGCTTTCCGTGTTTGTCTTGTTAGTGCTCGGAGCTAAGAGCCCCATGTCAATGGCAGAATAAACAGATGGATCTGTTGTTTTTTTTTAAATTACTTTGCTTTTAAGGATGCTCATTCTCCAAGTGCTGCTAAACTCAGGACTCCTGGGTTCTGTTCCCGGCAGCGTGGCTGGAGATGAGGTAAGATGGAGCTGCGTGCAGGAGCTGAGCTGAAGCTGCTGCCCTTTGTTCCTTCGAAGCCTGGGGCTTTGATGTATCGCTGGCCTTAACTGGTTGTATATTAACTGCACTCACGATGCTGCATGGCTGGCTTTTGTTTTAACTGCATTGGCGCATGTTCAGAGTTGGTGTGCTCCGAATGGCCGCTGGGACTGCACAGTGAAGCATAAATCCTTTTTAGCTGTCAGGCTTCACTAGCCATGGTCGGGTGGGGGAGCTCCTCCTTGGCTGACTGCCCTGGCTAATTAAAAATGAAATTTGCTGTTGTCTTCAGATTTTAATTCACGCTCATCCCTGAAGACTAATAGAAGCATGCTCTCCAGGCAGCTGCCATGAAGTCTCAGAGCTTGTCTATACACTCTTATTTTAGAACAGGTATGCAACTTAGTTTGCGCTCTCCACTACCTCAGGTAGGCTTTTTGGGTATAGAGAAGAGGATAGAGTAGCATCTTGCAAGTCTTGAGACTTGGTCCTGAGCAAGTTACTAGAGTTTGTTACCACGTGTCAGCTGATGTGCGGTAATCTGGGCATGCATGTGTGCTGTGGCTAGGGCAGCATCAGATGACGGTTTTTCTCTCCAATGGTGGATTCGGCAGAACTGCGTTATTCCTCTCCAGGTTGCGTGAGTGGCCATTGGCTTGATGGGTGCCTAAACTGCTCAAGGCGCAGAAACTTGCGTAGCTTGTCTGCCTGAGCCTTCAGCTAGTGAATAGTGCTGTGAAACCTCCGGGAGCTGGAAGGAATGTTGAAGGGGTGGGAAGCAGTGAGGATTTGTGCGGGAGCCGAGAGGTGGTGATAATAGATACTGTGCATCAGTGCTAAGTCGGGGCACAGCCACACATAGCGTGCGGGGGGGTGTGCTGCTGCCGAACTGCCAGCTGAGCCCTGTGAGGTGGGTGGGAGGACAGAGGTTAGTGAGAGGAATAAATGGTTTCTAAATATACACACAGGGCTGGGGCCAAGTCTCTCCTCTTTGCAAGGCCTTCTAGAGGTCCCACCTACACAAGGGCTTTGCTGAAGGGAAATATCACTGGAATACCTTCCCCTTTTCAGATCCTTCCTGTTGGTGTAGCGAGGGTGCAGCAGCATATTCTATTTTCAGAGCGTATTTCCGCTGTCCCGCTTGCTGCCCACACTGTCACTGTCCAGATCCTCTTCCAAAAGCTGTTCCCTTCTCTTAAGGCGATATGAACTAAAGGTTTGGGCCTTTCTCCTAGTGAAGGGATCTTCTTAAGATATGACATTTTATCTGCCTGTAAGTCTCTGATCTTAAAAAGCAAACATTTAAGAAGTGAGAGCCTTCCGCGCTTGGCAGGGCAAGTCTCACCTTATGCTGACGGTGCGTTGAGAGCTCTGCTGTGGGGTTGGACTGCTCAAGCATGGAGCCAGGCCTGCATTTTGTTTGCCCGGTAATGTTTGAGCTAATCATTTATGAATAGCTGTGGAGGGAGCGTAGCGATGCCTTTCTTCATGGGAAGCGTTGGCTGTTGGATCCTCCTGCCTCCTGTACTCCACAACTTAGATTTACTCTGTTTGCAATTTCTGCTTGTGGTTAGGCACTTACTCTGCAGGAATTGGGATTAACTTTTTTGGAGCTTCCCTAGAAGGTCTGACTCTGTGTGGAACAATTGTGAAGCCTGTTGGGAAACTAGCGAGGTAGCTTTTTGCATGCATGGACTCTTACCCAAAGCTGCTTCTGTCTTTCTAGAGTAGCATTTGAAATATTAAATGTATGGATGCCTTGAGAGTCTTCCACAGTTATTTCTTTATTCAAGGCTGTCTTTCATCCTGTCTTTTACCTCCCCCTATGCTACTGTTTTCCCCCTAGTTCTTTCCCTGCTAAAAAAATAGGCTTGTGTTAACCATTGTGAAATACTCTTCAAGTCCCTAACCTCTGTGCAAACAAAGCAGTAATTTGTTTTAGCATCCATGCTGACTTCTGGGCTACGTGCCTCATAAGGAACCCAGTGTGATATGAATCTGCTGCTTTTGGAGACTTGCACTCCAAATATAGTCTGAGCAAAGGACGGGACTAGAAATGTGAATGCTTGCTGCTTATTCCACCAGCTCTGCTACTCGTTCCTGGCAGGATGCACAGCAAGCTACCTGGTTCCTGGGTTGTTTTTTTTTCCCCCTGTAAAAATGAGAGCAATGCCTTCAGATGCTCTGAGGTTGACAGTCAGGATGCAAACAGAATGCGCCATCATTGTGGGTATATGGGTGACAGGATTTCTAGATCACTTCTGGTTAAAAGCATGTCTGTATGAGTAATGCTTTTATTAGCATATGCCAATTGCTGCTGACTTTCTAGCAACCTTGCTGCCTGAAAGAGAGTTTGAGATGAAAGAGATGTATCGAGCTATTCCAGGACTAGGTTGTCTGAGTGGGTTCTGTTTCTGCTGCCTTTTAAAAAAGTAATGCTTAGAAGGGGGACGGATGCAATAGCAAAGGTGCTGTGGCTGGGTGATACCACTGCTAAGGTCCTGTCCCAAAGACACTTAATTGCAAGCTCCATCTGCCTGCTGCATCGGTGACTGGAAATAACACTTTGCTTTGCAGAGGCCACTGGATGATGCCCGGATCGTGTGGGGGTTCCTTCTTGCTTCCTGCTGGGGTTTCTCCCTGCTGCCCTTTAAAAAGGCTCCTCAAGCTTGGTGCCTCCTCCAGGTAGGCAGGTGTAGGTAGAAGAGAACAGAAGACTTCAGGCGAAGTCTGTCAGGAACAAATAAAACCTGCTCTTGAAAACCAGTTTTCTGCTTCCGCTTCAAAGGTGCCTGCCAAGTGCCTGCCTTCTCGCTATTCCTTTGTTTCTGAAGCCCTTTGTTTTTAGCAGCGGTGAAAGCACAGGGAGTGGCTGGTAGGATGTACAAGGTTTTGCATGTAAGTTGGTGGTTTGAATCTTGTGATAGCACGAGTTCCTGTCCCGCCACTGCCGAGTGGATCTAAGGTGGCACACGGGG